GGGTATCTGATATGTGACCCCCATGGGGAGAACACTGGTTTAGAGTATAAATAGTTTTTGAAATCAGCTTTTAAAGTTAGTGTACAAAGTAATGGGGCACATTATGGCATTTTCATACATGCTTCAGTCTAAATTCATCCTTTTGCCCCATGGTACTCCCTTTTGCTAATCCCCTTCCTCTTCCACATATCCCACTTTCTGCTTTCCTATCACAAATATTGCATCATTTTTTCTCCCTAAAATCTCTTTTTTACTTGTGTCCCCTTTTCAGTTTTATGACCACACATACAGAAACATATATAAGCCCAGATTTTTCAGATGTAAGAAAATGTAGCATTTGTCTTTCTTTGACTGGCATATTTCCCTTAACATGGTGATTTTCATTTTCATCCATTTTCCTCATCACAGTATAAATCTGTCTAGACTTTGGACTTCTCTGACTATTCTGTTTCTTGGTATTCTTTGTTTAAAGTTTATCTAAAATATTTTGGTTTTAGAAATCAGGTTTGGAGTTCAGGAAAGAATGTTACTGTTCTGCTATTGCCTGTAATACTTTCTATTATTCTTAGGATGACAATCTATAGCATGTTTTCCAGTCTTACTGCTGACATCCACCTTTCCAGTTGTTAGTGGTACAGAGCTACTGTTCAGGCACTAAGCAATAATTCATAAGATCTTCCTTAAAGTCCATTGACCCTCCATTGACCCTTTGTGAACTTCCATGTACTTCTAATCCTTCTCTCCAATGTTTGAATAGCTACTTTGAGTCTGAAACAATAGGCATAAGTGAAAATAATTATTGTAATTACTCTGTCTGGTCTATTCTTGTCTACCAATGAGAAGAAAACTCTAGGTGATAGTCTTGTCTCTTGCAGTTTTAGGTTAGAAGGAGCCCTATCCAATATTGTTAAGATCTACATACTGGTCAATGCAAATATCTGTGATCAAATACTTGAATAGTAAACAGTTACTTTATTTTAAAATATTAAAAATATGTATGATATACTATTCACATATTACATGCTTTAATTTAAAAAATTTAAAGCTACACATTTTCCTAAAACATTAAACAAAGCAAAGCAAATTACATAAGTTGCTTCCAGAAATAAAAGGCCCGTTGTGTCTCTTGAGTTTACTTGTAATTTAACAATAAGGGAATCAGCTTAAGTGTACTCTTCCACGTTACTTTTGGTTATTGACTTCTACATTTGCCAACATTCAACATCCACATGGACAGTGCACCCTACATCAATATCTCTGGGGAGTACATAGACTCATGTACTTTCAGTTTAACTGTTCCTGTCAAACCCTCCATCTGCTTCTTAAATTGTTTCTTCTACTACTGTGAATGGCTACTCAACACTTCTAAAGGCAGGTTTCCTAAGATCAGTCTTAGTACATCTTTCTCTCAGCTGTTCCGTGGTACTTTGTACAAGAGAACAAGAGGCACCTGGAGGCAACAGCTCAATTTCCTAATTCTGCAGTCTGTTTCTGTGCAGGCTCACTTACTTCCTACCACCAACAGTCTTTCGCATAAGGCCAACTTCTAAATAGCATAGTCTCTCCAAACTAAAAAATCATAATTTTAAAAGTCCCAGAAGCTCTGCAAATAAACAGAAAAGTTAAAAAATATGATCCATTAATCACCTGATAATATGTACTGTCCTGGAATGTATCTGAAGGCCGGATTTCAAAGTGGTATTTACATACTCATGTTCACAGCAGCATTATTCACAATTAGTCAAAAGGGGAAGGTAACCCAAGTGCTTCTCCGTGGATAAATCCGACAAACTGTTTACATACAGTGGAATGCTGTTTGGCTTTAAAATAGAAACAAATCTTGTTAGTCATTGGATCAAGTGAAATAAGCCAGTCACAAAACAGAAAAACTGCATGAGCCCACCTGTATGGAGCAAACTCAGAGAAACTGAATGGTGATTTCAGGAACTTGGAAAGAAGGGAGATGGGAATGTATTATTTAGTAAGCACAGAGTTTTGGTTTTGCAACATAAAAAAAAATGCTGGATATCTGCCATAGAAAAACAAGAATATATGTAACACGTTTGAATTGTTTACTTATAAATGAATGGTTAAAACAATACAATTTTAAGTTATTTGTCCTTTACAACAATTCAGAGTTCCTAGACCTGACAGCTCTTCCTATTTGCAACTTTTCAGAACTTTCTATGGGTGCTGCCATCTCTGTCTCCCCTGCCCTCTTAACCCACTCCCATCTGATTTAAATCACCTCTCAGCATTTCTGGCCTCAGTATACTCAGGGTATTGATCTTTGGTCACCACTTGTTTCTGATCCCTTGACTTCTGTGAGACTCTACCTTATACTCTGCTGATGTCTCAGTGACAACTCTTTCTGTTTAGTCTTTTTTTTCTTTTCTTGCCTACTCATAGATGTTTATGTCCTTGTCCTGACTCTCTTTGTGTCTTTAACAGTCGTAATATTTCCTTGTGAAAGCACAATTAAACAGTGCCTGCTCAGGATTCTCTCTGCCTTGTTGACTCTATATTAGTCCAAGAAGCTATTTCCGACTCAATTTATCAAATGGCACTCATCCTTCCTCCTGTGTCTTCTAACTCAGTAATATCCCCCTCCACATTTTGTTCTAAAGCCTGGGGTTTACACTAGAATCCTGATTCACTTTTATTCTCCACATCAAGTTGGTCCAGAAGATGTTATTCATTCTCCAACTTTATCTCAACTGTCAGTGTTTTGTTTTCTATCACCTACTACCTTCAAGCTGGTCTGCTTTTAATTTTGTCTTCAAGTTAACCTTCCACATCTTTTTATTGCTTTGAAAGTCTCTTGAATTCCCCTGATCAACATCCCATGCCTGACACTGGGGGTTTTGCTAAGTAGTCTATGGCTTTTGGGGAGCATTATCACCACACATGATGTAACATCATTTGCATTTTCACTTAAATTACATATACACAATACACTTAATGTTTCTCTATGGCTTTTTCAATCATCTTTAATGTTCTTTATCTCTCTTCCCTCCCTCTCCCTCTGGATTTCACTTCCTCCCACCAGATAAAGTACCCTCAGTTTTCCAATTTCCCAATTCATCCTACTGCTTTCTATAGCTCTGTCTACTCCTGGATTCAGTGATAACTTCAGGAAGATTTATAACTAGGATACAGAAATCAGGGTGAATACACAGCATCTTTCTTTCTGGGTATGGATTACCTCACTTAGTATAATATTTTCTACTTTCATCCATTTACTTGCAAATTGATACCATTTTTTCTTTACAGATGACATAGAATACCATTGTATACCACATTTTTATTATTCTTTCATCAGCTAAAGGACATTTAGATTATTTCTATGTCCTAGCTATTATGAAGATTACGATAAATGTGGCTGAGTAAATAGCTATAAAACAGGACAGTGAGTCCCTTGAACATACACCAAAGAATGGTACAGCTACATAATATAGTAAGATTTCAGTCCTACAGTAACAACAATAATATACCAGCACAGTAATGGAACAAAAACAAACTAGCAAATCAATATAACAAAATAGAAGTCCCAAACATTAGTGCATTTAATTTTACAGCCATCTGATATTTGACAAAGAGGCCAAAAATACATGGTGGACAAGAGGCAGCATTTTCAATAAGTGGTGCTATGAGAAGACTGAAATTAGACCCATATGGGTACTCTGAATCAACTTGAAATAGAGCTCAATGTAAAATATGAAATGCTGAAACTGCTAGAAAACATAGGTGGCACCCTACAAGATATAGTTGTCAGAAGAGACTTTTTGACCAGGACTTCATTCAGTTAGAAATTAAGGCAAACAAATAAGACCTCATAAAACTAAAATACTTCTGTACAGCAAAGAGAACAATAAGCTAGTGAAGAGGAAGCCCACAGAGTGTGAAAGAGTCTTTGCAGCTATTCATTTGACAAAATAAACAGATTATATGAAACAAAACAAGAATCACAAAAACCAATGATCCAGTTAAAAAGGGCCTTGTGGGAGGACAGCTATGGATCTGAATAGAGAATTCTCAAAAGAAGAGAGGAAAAATGGCTAAGAATTATCTTTAAAAGTGTTCATCATTTTTAGCAATTAGGGAAATGCCAACTCAAACAACTTTGAGATTCCATGTTATGAAATCAGAATGGCTAAGATGAAGAAAACAACTGACAACAAATGCTGGTGAGGATGTGGGAATGGGAACTCTTGTTCACTATTGCTAAGATTCCAAACTGGTACAGCCTCTGTGGAAATGAGACTGAAGTCTCAAAAACAAACAAACCAAAGACAAAAACAAAACAGATAAACAAACAAAAAACACGGTAATTTTTTTTAAAATCTCTTTAAAACTCACCGCACAAAGGTCCCGACTGCACTCTGCTCCAGCTAGATTGTTCTTTGCAAGGTCTTACGTTGATTTTTTTTTCACTAATACCTTTGCCCATGCTATTCCCTCTGCTTCAATTCTTTCCAACCTGCTTGGCAGAGCGCCCATCATGACACAACTCAGGTATGCTCCCATAGTATAGGATGATGATCACCTCCGTGTTACCTCACTCTAGGTAGTTTTTCCAAAGCAGGTAGCAAATTTTTCTTCATACCGAATTCCAATTGCTTGTTAGTGGTTTACGGTGCATGCGTGCATGCCTGTGTGTGCGTGCTCGCATGCACGCTGGAATAGAGTATGAATTGGACTTTATGCTGGAAACATAGGACACTGTGGAGTTAAAAACAGCATCACTTAAAAAGTTTATTTAAAAAAAAAGTTCAGACAACACAGTTTCCGCGTTGACTAATTGAATAAAAATTAGTCAACCTCGGATAAAAGTGACAAGTAACAACAAGCCACCTAGGCGCTTGCATGGCCCGGATGAGGCGGAGCCGCGGCTTCCTCTGGTAAGGGAGGGCGCACGCAGGCTCAGACAGAGAAAACGATCTTCGTTTCCGTTCTACTAGTCTCAATCCACTCTTAAGCAGCACGCGCAACAAGCCACTTCCGGAAAGGTGAATTTTTTCCCCCCACTTAACCCGGCTGCAATATGGATACCACCAGCGAAAGCGACGAACTGGTAAGATGTTGCTCTAGGGCTCGGTAAATACCCAAGCGGAGAATGGGTAGTGAGCATCCCAGGGAGTTGGGATCGTTCACCCAGTCCTGTTTTTTTTTTTTTTTTTTTTTTTTTTTTTTTCCTTCTCAGGTTTCTGGGGAAGTAGTGTCTGTGGCCCATGCTCTTTCTCTCCCAGCCGAGTCGTATGGCAACGACGTGAGTATGACTCACATACACTTCCCGCCCATCCAGCTATCCAAGAATGTCTGAATGCTCTGGTACTAAATTATATGTCTGTCCCTTTCCCATTGTCTTCTTCAGAGCTCCCCACGTCAACCAAAAATTGCTCCTTATTTCACATCAATCTAATCGTAGTTCACAAGTTTATGTAGGACCCCAATGCCTGTGAAAATGATCCCCCTAAATTTTCAATGATTTAGAAACACCTGGGAGGCGTCTAAACACCCGCATGTCCAGATTACAGCCCATATACGATCAAGTCAGAATGTCTTGGGGAAAAGGAGCAAAACCTTAGTAGTTTTTAAAGGGCCCTGAATGATCCCATTGTGCAGCGAAGTTGCACTTGTTTGTGGTGTGCTTCATTTGGACCCTTATACATGCTGTTTGTTGAGAGTTAAGGAAAAAGACAGAAGGAATTGTAATACCTCCCAAATAAGAATGCAATGTGTACTAGATGAGTGGCTCAGGCAAGTATGGAAGCTGTAGAAGTATAACTTGAACTGGCCCCTTAAAGTCTAAGTGGACAGAAGATATAGATTCAAAAGTAGGAAACCGCCTTCCTATTCGGGTGGGGGAGGTGCATATGCAGATGGGTTTTTCTGGCTTCAGGAAGAGACAACAGGCTACTGGGTACTTGATCAGACTTATAATCTAGCTGCATCATTTGTTCTGGGGTTTTACAGAGTGGAACAAATGGCAATCTGATAAACACAAATGATGGGTATAACATGCTATACTCATGAAAGTGAAAAGTAATTTCACATGTATTTTTGTCCTCCAAACAACTCTGAAGTGTATAGGTGGGTATATTAATGTAACTAAGAGTTTATTAAGTCAGTCCTGATTTTCCACACTTTCACTAGCTGCTGGGAAAAGATGTTCAGTGGTTCATTGTTTTTGTTATTCCGTGTTGAGAGCTTCTGTTGGTCTTTATAAGGACAAAAGGTTCATATTGCCAGATCTTTTAGTTCAGCTTTTATCCCTTGACAGCAACATTATTTTCTGTAGGTAGGCCTCTTGAGAATTAGCAAGGTGCCTTTAATTTCTTACCCATTACAGGACTGAGAGATTTCTTAGCTTATGTTCTTCCTTCTTTGCAGCCTGATATTGAGATGGCTTGGGCCATTAGAGCAATGCAGCATGCCGAAGTCTATTACAAAGTGAGTTGTTTTCCTCATTACATAGAAGTCAACATGTAGTTTTAGAGTATGATGCTATGCTAATCATAGTTCTCAGCAACTTAAACTACTAAGCTTTGCAGATTGCTTTAACTACCAAAGAAATCTTACCTCCAGGAAACAAGAGTAGAAGTGAATTTGATGATGATAAGTTCTGCTTGTCTGCCCCTTGTTGTTTGCTACCTGGAGGAAAGATAATTGGACCATACATAGCAGACACTTAAATGTCTGTTGAATGAATGAACAATCCATAGAACAAGAGCCAGGCAATACTAGAGCTGAAGGGTTCATTCAATTGCCAAATTGGTAAAAGGAATAGGAAAGAAAAAGAGAGACAGAGAGACTTATTATGGCTCTTAAAACCATTTTAATGACTTCCCAAGACCTGCCTAAAGTAATCTTCTGTCCTGAAACCATTTGGTTTCCTGATGCTGTGGTATTTCTGTGGGGGGGGGGGGGCCTGTAATGAGTGACTAGCATCTTTACGTTTGTTTTATTGTCTGGCAGCTGATTTCATCAGTTGACCCACAGTTCCTGAAACTCACCAAAGTAGATGACCAAATCTACTCTGAGTTCCGTGAAAATTTCAAGAAGCTCAGGGTAGATGTATTGGACCCAGAAGAACTCAAATCAGAAGCAGCTAAAGAGGTAAGTATCCTCTGAAATGTTATCTAACATCTGGCCAATGTTTTTGATTGAAACTTTTTATGTAAGCTTCAAATTTGTTCAAGGGACTTACAATAAGGAACATGGATCTTATATAAGTTAAGTCAATTATGAAATAAATTATTTTCTTAGACGCTTTTTGTGTTTATTAAAGACTTTTTCTCTTTCCTTGGGCACTTCAGCTACCCCCATTTACCTATTTATTTAAGTGGAGAGGAGGAAATTTAGCTGGAGAGAGTGGGTAATGGAATAGTTAATAGAGTACAGAGAATGTAGAGTGGGTAATGGAATAGTTAATAGAGTACAGAGAATGTAGGTAGATATTTCGATTCTCTGGACTTTTGTTGCATTGATCATAGGTCCTGTATAGCATAAAAATGGTGTTTCTTGCTTTTGTGATCATCTCTTACTGACACAGAACACTGATACTATAATAGGAAAAACAATTTCCTTAAAAGTGGGCTCTTGGCTAGTGAAGAATTTAAACTTTGAAGTCCTAGTAGGCTGTCCCTGATCTTTGAGAACTTGCCCCTTACTGGGTGGACATGTATAACATAAAGGTACATCCCTGCCCTGCCCTCTTTGTCTCCTTGATACTTTGGTAAGGATTAATAACCATTTTGCCTTGAGCTGGCTGATAACTGAAAACAAAACAGTGATCATTATAGAATTCACATTTTAATGTTGTTTGTTTGTTTGCTTTTTGAGACAGGGTTTCCCTATGTAGCTTTGGAACCTGTCCTGGAACTCACTCTGTAGACCAGGCTGGCCTTGAATTCAAAGAGATCCACCTGCCTCTACCTCCTGAGTGCTGGAATTAAAGGCATGCACCACTATTGCCTGGCTAGAAATCACAGTTTAGTTTGGCAGTAAAATGATTGAGTTGGTTGCTTTTGCTTTTTTTGTTTTTTTGTTTTTTGTTTTGTTTTGTTTTTCCTAATCAAAATGTTGTGTAGGGAGACACCAGCCTAAAAACATAACATATAGCACCAAAATGTACAATTTTCTCCATAAAGCTGACAGTCACCTCAATACCAGTCTCTTTCATGTTGGCTTTTATTCTCACTGGGGGAAGCTCAAACCTCTTTCCTGTTTGGGTACATTAGACTCTTGGATTCATCAGCTAAGGTGTCATGTTTTTGCCTTTATAGAAGTGGAGGCCATTCTGCTTAAAATTTGAAGGAATCGTAGAAGATTACAACTATGGTACTTTGTTGCGACTGGATTGTTCCCAGGGCTACACTGAGGAAAACACCATCTTTGGTGAGTTTCTTGCCTCTGGCATTGTTTCTGTAAGAGGGTCTGAAAAGGAGTCTGGGTTCACTGATGAATCACTAGCAAGTATAGTTTCCTTGGAGAGCATCTTATTTTTTCTATCTTTTAAGGTCATGTTCATTTCCTTAAATAACTGTCAGATAGGTACATAGTTTCATTAATAAATTAGAATTCAAGATTTCTAGCTTACATATTTGGATGGCTTTCCTGTGAATTAAGGTTTGTCTGTGGGTTTCTAGTCAGTGTACATGATTACCTAAGACCAGAACAATTGACTCTATTTGCCTTTCAGCACCCAGGATTCAATTTTTTGCAATTGAAATTGCTCGGAACCGGGAAGGCTATAACAAAGCAGTTTCCGTCAGTGTTCAGGACAAAGAAGGAGAGAAAGAAGCTGACAATAAAGAAGAGGAAGCTAAGAAAGGAGCTGATAGTGGAGGAGAAAAAGAGGAAGGAATCAACAGAGAAAAGTAAAAAGCTAACCAGACAGGAGAAAAAGAAAGCCAAGAACCATGTGACCCAGCTGAACCCACAAGTATCAGGTTAAATGATTGCTGTTGTGCAAGTGGAGGACTCAGAGGACATCTTTCTATAGCTAGTAAGAGAAGCTGCTTTGGGCATAATAGCTTAAACATAAATTAACGGAGTCTCTTAGTTAATTGTTGCTTGATACCCTGTTTCTTGTCTGTAACTGTCATTGCAGTAAGACATTTTGTAAATAAATTTCTTTTTGTTTGTATGATTTATGATTGATTGTGGAAAGTATTTACCTTTATTTGACACTTCAAAAAATTCAGGTATATAATCTCATTACCATATCTCATATAAAACTGTACGTTAATTCTTCTTACTGTTCTCAGTAATGACATTCTCTTAATGTGTTAGCTTTTACCTGCTTTCGACATTACAAGTTCACCTTAGCCAAGCCCAGTGGCTCGTTCCTGTAAGTCCCAACACCTGGAAGGCTAAGGTAAGAGAATTGCATGACTTTGAGGCCTGAGTTATAGAGTGAGACTCTGTCTCAAAAATAAATTGTTTAAAAAAGAATTGGCTTTTGCCTTTGTGGTAACTATATAGCTCTCTGATTTCCTTTGCTAACTACTCAGGGAACAGCACCCTCAACTATCAAGTTAGAGAGTGCCACCCAGTTTATCACAGAAGAGCAAGAGCCTTTACCTCCTTTTAGAGAATTTTTGTCGGTCTTTGTTGTTTGTTTTCTGAGACAGCTTCACCTTATAGACCATTCTGGCCTGGTACTACCTATGTAGGTCAGGCTAGTTTCATACTCAGAATCCTGCCTTGTTCATTCTCTGATAGCTTGGTTGTTATTTGAAATTTAGCCAATAATAATAAATGCTAGTATAGTATTTATAATCTAATGTAAGTCTGATACAGTGGCTTTACATTTATGAGGTTGTGGGCAGGGGCACATATTTATATTTGACATATAACAAACATTTGTTGATTTGATATGGGAGGGAGGTGTTTCATTCTCAAGTGAAGCTGTTTGGAGTGAAGGCTTCAGTCATCCACATAGGTATATGAAGAAGGTTCCTGCGCCCCCAGACATCCTGAACTTGATCACTGAAAATGCAAGGAAACCAGGACGCTTGTACATACAGACGGTGCTCTCTCAAGATGAACAACAACATTCTTGTATGAGAAAGGATCTGTCGCTCAGTGGTGGTGGTAGTGCATGCCTTTAATCCTAGCACTCAGGAAGCAGAGGTAGGTTGATCTCCAAATTTGAGGCCAGCCTGGAAGACAACCAGGGCTATGCAATGAGATCCTGTCTTGAAAAACCAAAAAAAGGAGGGAGGGAGGAAGAGAGGGAGGGAGGGAGGAAGAAAGGAAAGGACTTCTTAGAATATAAAAAAGAGGATAAAAGACCTTTTCCCCTTAGTAAACACAAGAGAAAAGTAAAAGTTTATTCTAATTGATATATTGGCTGTACATAAAAAAAAAAGGAAAGGAAAATCATGCAACTAGCAGTAGCACTTGTATACAAAGGAAAAGGGTAGTTTCTTTCTAAGTTCTCTTTGGCAAATCCTTAAGACTTATTTCAAACATTTATTAAAATTTCCTTTTATAAAAATGTATAGTTTTGAAAGAATGGGAGAATTTCATGTATTTCATATTAGCCAGGCTGTTAAGAAAAACTATATTGTGTAATTTTTTCTCATTCTAGTTGTTTACAATTGCTTGTCCATATGTACTGTCTTAGAAGTTGAGGAAGAAAAATTACTGAGCACATACAATTGCAGTTCTGTCACAGAGCTTGGGGCAGCATGCACAGGTCTGCACCAGTTCCTTTGTGTATATATTATGGTTTCTGGATTAGTGTTTTTATGGGATTCCTGCGCGTGTGCTAACAAGTGAATCTGTTTCTTGTACCTTCTTTTGGGCTCTTTTCCTTCTATTTGTTTTGTCCAATTCCAATGTGTTTGTTAGTTTTTGTTTTATCATTATATTTTATTTTTATTATTATCTCTTAATGAGAGACAGAAAGGACGTGGATCCACATGGGAGGGGAGGTGGGGAGGAGTAAAAGAAGAAAGCATAATCAGGATATATTGTGTGAGGAAAAAATAATAAAAAAGTTGACCACTGGTTGAACAACTAGCTTAATGACAGTTGAATTTTATATGGGATAAGAAACATGAAAATCAGAGTGCCTTGAAGCAAGAGGTATATCCCTAGAGGCAGGTGATAAAAAATGGAAATTATGAATAAATATAGTGAAGGCAGATGGGCTGTAAGAGGGCAGCAGTTTAAGGCAGCCTCCCAGATTAGAGGGCAAAGAGTAGGCAGAATGGTCGATGCTATAAATGAATCTTAAAATGATTACAGTATTCTCCCCTTGACATGAGTGTTCCTATGTAATCCCCCGCTGTTTAATGTGGACAAAACCTGTGAATATAAAAGGATTTCATTCCTAAATTGTGGATGATTTAGTTGTAAGTTAGTCAAAGGAAGCATTATCTTGTAGGCCCTTCTTAATAGGTGAGTCCTTTAAAAGAGACAAGCAAAAGCGGGAGGTATTCTGTTGTAGAAACAAACAGCCATGTTTTGAGAGGAAGGGATCATGGGGAAGACTGAAGGTGACATTTTTCTCTGCCTGGCAGCCCTCAGGAAAATGGGGATTCTAATTAGTTCTAAGGAACTTAATTCTGCCTACTGGTGAGGTGGAAGAGAACCGTGATACTCCGGTGAGATTGGCAGAGTGATTTGGACCCCAGAACAGAGAATTTAGTTAAGCTGTTCCTGGACTCCTAACTCCTAGACAAAAAAAAAAAAAAAAAAAAAAAAAAGGATGTTGTCTCACACCTGAATGAAAACATGGAAACATGGTAGTTGGTTACAGAGTATACCTAAAAGTTGGAAGTTGGGTTTGCAATCAGACAGTGAGTAGAAGTTGAAGAATTTTGAAGGACATGGTAGAAAAAAATCCTAAACTGTTTTGAACAGACTGTTAATAGAAATGTGGACTTTTTGTTGTTTGGGCTCTTTTGTATGTATTTATGTGGTTTGTTTATTTGTTTGTTTTTTTCTTTGAGACAGGATATCTCTCTGTAGTCCTGGAATTTGCTTTGTAGACCACACTGGCTTCAAACTCACAGATTTCCTCCTGCCTCTGCCCCTTGAGTGCTGGGATTAAAGGTGTGCATTACCAGGCTCAGGCCAGGGTATAGACTTTAAGGGTGCTGCTAGAAAGAGCTCAGAAGGAAGTTGGGGGTCATATTACTGGAAACTGGGGAGGTAAGCTGATTCTTAAAAGGTGGTAGCATTGAACTTAGATCCTAGAAAGTTTGAGCTCTGAATTTGAGCCAGGCTTGACATAGAAACTTGAGTTATTCAAAATAGGGCAGTACTCTAGTTATTTATTTCGGTATCTCTTGGAGGAAGAAAAAACATGGTAATTATTTGTACTTGCAGGAGGACAGATGGTAGGTAGAAAGTGACTGAAGGAAGCATACATACTAGGGCCCACTTGCAAAATAGAGGCTTTCACGGTACTGCCATTGTTTATTTTGAAACTATAGGTTAAACATAGGGATGTCCTTTACCAGAAGATTAGAAATATAAACTGCATTCAAAATGACCTGGAATCATTTAGAACCTACACTATAAAGGAAGCCCTGTACTCATTAATGGAAATATGCTAACATGCTTGAAATTAGCATGTTTTCATACATATACTTAATCCTGGCTGTCCTGGAACTTGCTTTGTAGACCAGGATGGCCTCAAAGTCACAGTGCTGGGATTAGAGGTGTATGCCACCACCATACTGCAACAGTAATGGCCGTGTGTGTATGTACATTGCTTTCCATCTTATTTTTTGAGACATGGTCTCTCACTGAACCTGGACCTTGCAGCCTCAGCTAGATTGGCTAGCTAGCATGTCCTAGAGATTTTCCTGTCTCAGCCTTTTCTTTTTACCTGGATGCTGGGGATTGAACTTAGGTCTTAATTGTTTCTGTGGCAAACATTTGAGCAATTGAACCCCCCTCCCCCCCAACACTCACTTAGTAACTTACAATAACTTCAGTTGTAAATAGTTTTCTTTGTCACAATGTGATATGATGAATATAATTTAGAATCTCTGCAGCATGGTGGTAATTTAAGCAGGCCAGGGGTTCATTAGTTGTGTTGATTCCCCTGCCTGAGTTGTCTCCGGTTGACAGGCCTGGAATTTGAGGCTGTGATGGCAAGTCTGAAGCACTCGTGGCTGGAGCCTGGGTCTGTGGAGGCCACTCTAGGCAGTGTGGGGCCTGAAGTATAGGTCCTTAAGAAACAATTTAGGGTCTTTTCTATAAAGGCCAGCCTAACACTTTAGCTATAGAGGGTAGGTGAGCCTGAGGGCTAGGTCCATCGAACTGGCTTGAGCCTGTACCTATGGCATGGTTTTTCTAGTCACTGAAGCCAGCCTGTTTGAGATGGGACTATAGTCTGTGTTCTCAAGGCAGACCTAGAACCTGAGTTCATGGAAATAAACTGGACACCAAGAACAATTGGGGCTGGCCTCATTGTTGGCTTTGCTGAAATGAGCCTGGACCCTGAGACCTCTGAAAAATGGAGCTGTGGGTACTAGTGTGGGTCCTGGGAAAGCAAGAGCTGGCATGTGTGGCAACCAGCCTGGAATCTGGATCTCCATCAGACTGGCCTGGGCTAGTTTAGAATCTGGGGCTGCAAGGCTAGCCTGGTGTTGCAATGAACCTGAATTTCAGGGGATATGGTGCTAACCTAACACTGGGATTGGCCTACAGTCTAAGACTATGGAGTTTTGTTTTTCAGTAGTGTAGGTCTGGAGGCTGGGCCTGGTCTAGAACCTGGGGTGGGTCTGAAACATGAGCATGCAGGGTCTATGGGCCTGCCTGACTGAATTTCATTGTTATGGGTCTGGTGCTGTGCCCTGCAGCCCATGTATGTTTCATTCACTCTCCACCTCCTGCTGTTCTGCTTGGGCTACATACAAGGTGACATATGTGAACTGCATCCACACTTCCTTCTTTAATATGTCTTTTTTTCTTTCCACACTTCAACCAGTTGCTGCAAACTGTCACCTCGATTGCTGAACTCTTGTAAAGGTACTTTGATGTGTAAGTAGTAGTTGAGTGTCATGTTTTGGGGAGGGTAAAAATATTGGAAAGTCCCATTCAACCATCTTGCTATTGTAACTCATAAAATATAAATTTTAAAAGGGGTTCATTGAGGCTAGGTTTTCTAGTTTACTTTACA